GCCGATGAACCGCGGCGGGAACCCGTCTCCCGGCTCCTCCGCAGGTGCTCCAGCCCTTTTGTATCTGCCGAGCCCTTTCTTCGGTTGTGTGGAGACACAGCCGCTAGAACAAAGGCAAGAAGGGGCGGCGCTGGTCGAAGGGAAGTCTAGTTGGAAAACCCACTAACCTGGAGGGACCCTGAAACTGAAGGAGGGCTACGCGCCCACTGCGCTCCGCCGCTCCGCCTTCACACAAACTGTCCGCCCCCAGCTGCTGGGAACGGTTCGTCGGCACCTGCCTCCCAATGCGTCAAAGAATGGTTGTTTCTGTTAAAGATAAAGGTAGGGCTAGGGAATGATGTGTCTAAAGGCACGGCATACTGAGTGATGGAACCCGAGCAAAGAAATAAATGCACAAGTGTTTCCCCAAACCTGGAAAGCTCTGGCCCGCCAAGGACGGCGACCGGCAGAGCCTGAGGCACAAGGAACTAGGGGACCCAGGCTTGCTCTAGCCCAGACCCAGAGGAGCACACGGCCACTGCTGCCTGGGGGAGCTTGTGCAACAGCCCTGGTCAGAGCCAAGAGTAACCCCCAAACCACCAATTCCCAGTCGCTGCTTTTGGGGCTCAGGTGGAGAAACGGAGAAAAATCCAAAAATTAGTCTGCATTTCCCCCTCAGTGCGAATAAAGATGTTTTATTCCTCTGCTCTCATATACACACATCTGCAGAGCACTGGAATGGTTCCATGGCAGTGATTAAACCTTCAATTACACAGCTGTTTTCAAAAACCATGTTGAGTGGAGGTTTTTTCCGAGGGGCTAAGTAGCAGGTGGCCAGTGCAGAAGCTCAGCCCTCATCCCTTCAGCAAATGCCCTCTGCCAGCTCAGGGAAAACTGTCCCTGCCTTTTGCCCTACAAAGTCAGGCAGCAACGGCACCAAGGCCATGGCAGGGCTGCGCTGTGTAGCCACCTGGCAGATATCACCCAGAGGTAAGACTTGGGGATCAACCCAAGCCAGGGACCTGGGTTCCCAAGTGTCCTCAACTCCTGGGTCCATGGTGAAGGGAGGCCTCTCAGTCATACTTAGGTGTCCTGGTGGTGAGGCGTCTGTTCCTGCTCCTGTCATTCCCATTTCCGTGTGTCCATCAGTGGATCATCAGATGTGCCCCTATTCCCACAGTCCCCAGAGCTTCAGGTGGGCAAAGGGCTCACAGTTTACAAGTAGCCTGGGCCACTTTGGAGCTGGTTTTTCTGTTAAGGGCTTGACAGATAAAGGTCCCCGCTTCCAGGAGCTTCTGGAAGTTCACGCCCTTTGAGAAATAAGTTGGAAGATGCAGTAAGTCATGACATGCCCTCAATACCCAGGGAAACATCACATTGGACATACAACTGTGATACTGAAAACTAAAGGTGGCCCTGGCGGGTGTGGCTCCGTTGGTTGGAGCATCCTTCCGTACACCAAGAGGTGGTGGGTTCATTCCCAGTCAGGGCGCATGCCCGGGTTGCAGGTTCAATCCCCCATTGGGGCATGTGTGGGAGGCAACCGATCAATGTTTCTCTCTCTCTCTCTCTCTCTCTCTCTCTCTCTCTCTCTCTCTCTTTCTAAAAAAATTTTTTTTAAATGAAAAGAAAAAGTAAAGTAAAGGTGAAGACAGGCTCTTGTTTCTCTGATGATGGACACCAGCTAGCTGCCTGTGAGGTCATGTCCTTCTGGCATCGGCCCCCCCTCTGACTCCCCTTGTATAGGATGCCTCAATCTGTGTCATGCCACCACCAGAACAGGAATCTGTCGGTCTTGTTCAGTACTCCATCTCCAGGGCCTAGCACAGGGCCTGGCCCACAGTGGTCAAGAAGTACATATTAGCCGAAACCGGTTTGGCTCAGTGGAAAGAGCGTCAGCCTGTGGACTGAAAGGTCCCAGGTTCGATTCCGGTCAAGGGTATGTACCTGGGTTGCGGGCACATCCCCGGTGGGAGATGTGCAGGAGGCAGCTGATCGATGTCTCTCTCTCATCGATGTTTCTAACTCTCTATCTCTCTCCCTTCCTCTCTGTAAAAAATCAATAAAATATATATTTAAAAAAAAAAAAAGTACATATTGAAGCAATGAACTGTGAGGCAGAGGGAGTAAAAGCACCTATTGAAAGGGCCACTTCAGAAAACCTTTCATAGCAATAGCTCCTATTTACTGATGTGTACTATGTGCTCAGTTCTCGGCTAAGCATTCTACGTTTTCTTAGTTCATCTTCATAACGGCCCTACAAGATAGGTGTTATTATTATTCCCATTTCGCAGGCCCCGAGAGGTGAAGTCATTTGTCAGGTCACACAACCTGTGAGTGGCAGGACAAGGTTTAAACCCAGGTCCATCTGATCCCCAAGAACAGCTGCTGTGCTTCTGGTCCGCACTGGCTGCCCTTACTGACTCTGACAGAGCCCTGGGGGCTAACTCCACTGCCTCATTCTACAGAGAACAAAACAAAGGTCTAGAGACAACTGACTCATTTCAGGTCACACACCTGACCCTTTGGGGGGCTCTTTCCTTACACCCTGGGGCCTCCTTAAACCAAACTGTCAAACTCACACTGAGAGCCTGGCCTTCTCCGGGCCTGGATCACCCACACTCTGCTCTCTCAAAAGTATACAATAATCCCCTGGCACCTTTCCCCTCTTAACTGCTCCTCCTTCCCTCTTCCACTGACCCCCAAAAACAACAGCTAAACAAGCCCATCAGCTTCTGTCCCCAGGTTGGTTCAGGGCTGTGGCCATAGGGGCAGACAAGCTTACCGTGTGAATGCCCAAGCCCTCCAGCATGTAGACCAGGTCCTCGGTGGCCAAGTTTCCCGATGCCCCCTGTGCATAGGGACAGCCTCCAAGTCCTGCCACAGAAGAGTCCACGACACTCACTCCCATCTGGAGACAAAAGGATGGTGACACAAGGCTGTCACTGTGGGGGCCAAAGCCGACAAAGTGGGTCCTTATAAACCTCCCAACTGTCTGCTGCCTGAAATTCCATTGCAAGTTATTCAATCCTTTGGTTTATGATTCTGTTAAAGTGGAAATCCCACTGAAAGAGGGTGTTCCTCTTTTTAGCTCCGGGCCAGTGTGAGGCTTTTTGGTGTACACTGTTTCCTCTGCCAGGAACATCCCCACTCAGTTCCTTCAATGGTTTCAAGGTTCCCTCTTACCCTTAAGGTCTCAGCCTACAAGTCACTTCCTCAGCGAGGCCCTTCCTGATCACGGACCTCAAGTCACCGCCTGCCACTGACGGGACTTCAGATCCCTGTTGTTTACTGTGATTCATTTATGCACCCTCCCTCACAAGGCTGCTCTCTAACCCCAGGGACCCAGGCCATTTCCCCAGGTCAGTCATCTCCTACTCTCTTAGATGACTGTTCCCTTTCTCCTCCTTAAACTTCTAACAGACCTTAACAACTTGACAACCACAACTCTGGGAAAATAGACCCAGAAAGTAACAGAATCACCTGAGACATGAGCCTCTCCTAAAGACAGCAGGGTGGAATGAGACTGATGCTCCATCAAGGTAGCCTATGGTCAGACACTGAGAACGTTCCTTCTAATGGGCAGCCAGGCCATGGACTCCTCGTATAGGACCAGCCCACAAGAAGCAAGCCTCAAGGGAAACCCCACCTGAAGTTTCAGTCCAATCTCTGGAAAGCAGCATTAAGGCTCTCCCTCTGACCTCTGCCTACCTCCCTACTGCCTGCCTCCTTGCCTGCTGCTCCCACAGAGGCGCTCGCACACTCAAACCCGCATGTCATCCAGGACCAGGGCCCAGTAGTCATCCCCAAACCCTCCCTCAGTCTCTCAGTGCAGTGCTGCCCAGCCACCTCTGCTCCCTGTTCAACTGCTGAATTTCGTCAGGTCCTTCAAGCCTCACTTAGGCCTCTTCCGGCAAATCCTCTCTGACCTCCCCGCTGGGGTGGGGACCTTCCTCAGCCTGTGCTTCCTTTGAGCATTTGTCATAATGCACGAGGATTACTCCCTAACTCCTGCACTGTCGCCCCTAACACACAGACATAAGAACTTTTGGGGCAGGATCACATGTCTACGTCCATCATAGTGAGCCCAGGGCCTGTCACACAAGTACCAGCATTCAGCACAGTGAAGCTTGCTGAAAGCACAGATGAAACACAGCGGTCCTGCTGCCACGTCTTTTGGGAGAATGGACACATGCCTTTCTCCTGGGACATGCCTGTATTACCTGCAGGGCCATCAAGGTGTTGGCCAGGGCCTGGCCATAGGTGTCATGACAATGGACAGCCAGGGCAGCCACGGGCACCTCGTGCATGACAGCAGA